ATGCAAAATCAGGTTAATCTCTACAACTGTACAATCAGTAATTATACCTAAGAAAAATAACTGAAGGGTAAACTTTATCCTTTTTTTAAAGAACATTTTGCATAATCCACCATATTTTTATCCAAAATGCTTTAACCCGCCCCCCCCTCTTCTCCCCCTTTCCCCCCAAAAGGTCCAAATTAAATGAAATGATTGACGCAATTCCGAAAAGTAAGAAGAACAAGCGGTGCCAACTGCATTCGTTGGACACTCACAAACCGAAGCCCTTGGGGTAAGTGTAAATACAAAGCCACGCTTGTGCAACGGGTGCCAGTCAGATGGGTTTTTTTAGCACACCTTAGCACGCCCCTCTGCAGGAAGTAGCTTCATCGGTAAACTGATGGACGTAGAAAGAAAGCAGAAATGGATGAAACAATGGTGCTTTTGTGCCCGCTGGCATTGAGCCGCAAGGTTAAAAAAAGCAGAGTTAAAAACAGACTTTCTCTACCAAGGCTGCGTTTGTGTAGGTTTGGAAAATTAGGAGCGTAAAAACTTGTGGTTAAATGTTGGCAGCTATAATTGCCCCTTGATGGCACAGTTGGGATCTTCCCTAGCCAGCCAGGATGATGAGCCAAAACGAGCAATTTAATCCATTTAAGTGATATTTTTACACACACACACACACACACACCCAAAAATTGTACCAGGGCAGGCATTATGTTTATTTTGGAGGGTGCAATTGCAAATTGACAGCGTTGGGGATATAAAATTGAATATTTTTAACCCTCTACAAAAAACTCCTATGGAGATTCTCAGTCATCCAAATCATGGTTGTCCCAAAAGCGTTTTTTTTCCCCCCAAAAGGAAATTGGATTTCTGGTTTGTCTTTGAAGACGTTTCACTTCTCCTCCAAGAAGCTTCTTCAACTCTGACTGGATGGTGGGGAATGGGAGGATTTACCGTATTTTTCGGAGTATAAGACTCACCTTTTTCCCCCTCAAGAAAGAGGGAGAAAATCTGGGCGCATCTTATACACTGAATACAGCATTTTTGGCCTCCCGAAACCCTGCCCCCTTTGCAAAAATGGTCGTGCAGACCCTTTAGGAGGCTTCCAGAGTGTTCCTAGGAGCTGCGGAGGGCAAAAATAAGTGTAAAACATGCTGTTTTTTTGCTCATTTTTGCCCCCTCAGCCTCCAGGAGCACTCGATAAGCCTCCTAAAGGCGATGCATGCCCCTTTTTTTATTAAAAAACTGGCCCGTTTTTGCGAAAAACGGGCCATTTTTTGGAGGTCTGCTGAGTGAAAAAACAGCATTTTTAAATTTGCCTCTTCAAAATCTTGGTGCGTCTTATACTTCAGTGCATCTTATACTCTGAAAAATACAGTATACTACTTGCAAGTTATCCACCATCCAGTCAGAGCTGAAGAAGCTTTTTCAATGAGAAGCGAAACGTCTTCAACGAAAAACCAGAAAATTGCCTCTTGAAAAAAGCACCTTTGTACCCCACCCCCTAGCAAAACATTTTCTGAGGATTCTCAGACCTCCCATA